TGGGGATTGAGTGCCCTTGCCAAAGGATGTGCCGCTGCAGTTTTGCACTGCTGACTGACTGGGCTTCTTGTTCCTCTATTTCCTTGCTTTGTTTCTGAGTAAATTCTCTCTGAGCCTGAGCAGAAGAGGAAGTGTCATCTCTATGGGAGATGATAATAAAAGCAGTTAACCTAGTAGTGTAGTTTTCTGGGTTAAATTAAATAAAACAATTGTAAGCACTGTGTCCAGATGATATATGTTCAGTAAGTGTTATCTGCTGCTCTTAGTGGTGTTGCTAGGTTCCCCTTGTCAGTCTTCATGCTGTCCCATCTATAAAATGATGTAATGACTCACATGGTTTGAGTAATTTCTTTCCTTTTCTTCCCCCCTTTCTTTCCTTTTTTAAAATTTTCTACTTCTTCTTGAAAGGCAGTGAAAATTATACCACTCAATCTGTGATCTCTTGTGGTTCCAGTGGACAGTTAGGGGTGCCCTAGAAGATGAGTGAGAGCTGTCATTTAAAGATCACTGGACTTAGAATACCTGGGTCTTTTGATGGGCTTGCCACCTAAGACCTTGAGCAAGTCATAGAACCACTTTGGGCATTACTCAGTGTGGGGATCTTCAGAGGAAGAGCCTGTAAGGGCCTAATGAGATCTTAAACCTATGATTCTGTGTGTTGATCTTTATCTTGATTTCCATTTTTCAGTATATGATCCCGATTCTGGTTAGTTTACTTAAAATGAAAATTCCACCTGTATGTTCTTATTTTTAAAATATACCATAAGTATGGATTTTGTAAGAACATTTGAACAGCAATGTGGATCACAGGCCAGTGTAAAAAGATTAAGAGCACATCCCGCCTATCACAGCTTCAATAATAAGTGGAACTTGCCTGTTTATTTTCAAATAAGGTCAGTAATTTATTCCCATCACCTCCACCCTTCTGAAATAGGATTTGAACACCAGTTCAGATGGACTGAACTCCATTTCACAGCCCCTTCTTGGAGACCATCATATTATTCCTTGGGAAACAATTTAGAGCAGAAACGCACAAGAAGTATCATGATTGCCAAAGTTCTGCCCTGTATGACAAAAGGATTAAGTTTTACTCTCTTGTCATTAGCAAGCTGAGAACGCTAGACTCCAAGGGAGCTAGACCAGGCCCAGCTTCATTCCCAGGCGCTATGCCTTCATTCACCATGAAGAGACCGAGAGAGCTGGTCACCTGGCAGCTCCTCCTCGCCCTTTTCCTCTTCCATCCCTTGCTTCAAATAGCAGGCCTATCCTTCATCTGTAGTTTCGCTCATCTGTAACACTTTTATCCTCAGAGGGAATCAGGAAAAGTGTTCTTTCTTGAAATATTCTTTGTAGCTGATTCCATCCATCAGTTTATAAGAATTGTAGTTATTATTTTGGCTTCCTTTATAATCTTGGTGAGTATTCTGGAAAATGGTGACACTTTGCTTCCAGATAGCATAATGATATCACCAGTGCCAGTAAGTGGTCCTGTAGACAATTTGGGGGCAATTTAGGATAAATTCTTAACAATGTATGTTCCCCTAGAAAAAGAGATGATAATATAGGCATTTTTTTAAAAAAGTATAGCCATTTTTGCAGATTCTCTTGAATGAGATCACAGTAATTTCCTCCATAGAATGGTGTTAACTAAAGCATTTTAGTTAGAGTGGTTTTTAAAGACTTGCAAGCTTTTTGTTTAAATTGCTGGATGCTTTCTTTAATTATGATGCAGTCCTTCCCTGGAGTTCTGAGGAATAATTACAGAGAGGGAAATATATTAAATCCCTTGACTTGTAATTACTTGCCATGATTGAGAATGTATATAATCATCTTTTGATGATGAAATCAAAGCTGCCCAACCTTTGATATGGTGCTCTTTTACATACAATACTGAGCTTTATACTTAATTTTTCAAGGTTATATTATTACATAGGTAAGAAATTAAGGATTTTTTTGTCTGAGATACTCATGGACTGCATGGGACGTAATCATTACATGATGATCAAGATGTAGCCAGGGCAAGAAGCCCTTTTGGTTTGTGAGAAAAATTTAAAATGGTGAAGCATCATTTTATAGTGTAAGAGTGCAGTAGAGAAATAATATTTAAACTTTCTGTGTCTCCTGTAGTCTCCATTTTGGGTTAGATCGCTTTAGATATCTAATAACCATCACAGCCCATACTCCTGTTTACTGCCTCCAAACGCCTCTTATCTAGTCATTTCCCCAGACCCCATACCCCCACACTTGGATAATCTTGCACTGTCATGTCATTCTGCCTTCTGGAGTTCTGGGCCCTGCAGGGTAGCACAGCCTGACCTCAGCCCATTCTCCTCTCATCATAGGTTCTCTCAAAGCTGGTAATTGAGTCTTAAACTATGCTGAAACTCAGCTAGTCCCATGAAAGACATTTTTAATCTTCACCAGAGTGTAGCTATAAGCATTCAAAGGAATTGCTTAACTTTTCTTTGTAGATAGTTTTATTTAAAATTGATGAAATTAAAAAAGTTATGTTTGAGTTATGAAGTATGGAACCTGTTTTCAGTAAATGCATCTGCTCTTCCACTTAAAAAGAAATTCAAGTAATACTTTATAGAACACCATTCTGTTGATTTTTGTCAGTGGTTGGGTTATTTATTCTCTGGGATAACAGAATGTTCTGCAAACATGGCTAGTGTCAAAGCTGTATTGCTATCTGATTCACTTCAGGGTCATTTAAAGTAAGCCTAAACGCCAGTAGGGTGGTGATGTTTCAGCAAATTTCTAGGAAGGAATATCAGTACTAATATTGCACTCTCAGTAGCAATGAGATAGTCCCAGGTCTGACTCTGTGCCTGCCTACATCCCCATCATCTTCAGGATAAAAGGCACCCCTCCCACCACCACCATTCTGTGAGCACATGGGCACCCCTTCTGTCTCTGGTACCTGTTGTGTCAACATACCCTATTGTGTCAACACTTCATTTGTGCTTCCAGGAGTTTTGGAAAGTAGGGTTAAGAATTAGTTTTCATAGAAAGAGATTAAATACACTTGGGCCCCCAACAGTCTCAAATGGTAGTAAATCAGTGGCTGCCTGGAAGCTGGGTGTTAGCGCCTTAAATGCTACAGGCAGTGGTATGTCTTTTTTAATTGAACTCTTGCTAGAATGGTATATGCTCCCAGGATGGTCACATGTGTGTTCTCTGTCTGTTCCATTCAGCACATGCTTAGCATGGTGTAGCTACTTCACAGCATGGAGTCTGTGTGGTACTAATGTGCCTTCCTTCCCCTCCACCCTCCTCAAGTTTTGTCCATGCGTCAGTAGAGCCGTGCATGGGGAAGGGGGTGTGTGTCTCCAGATCATCCCCATACCCAAATGTAAAGTTTAGGAGTGTTTGTATTTGGGGTTGCCTTTCTTAAAATCTTCTATCAAGAGTAGAATGGCATCCCATATACACGTGAAAACTACAGCATAACTTTTCAAATTTCACCAAAGTAACATCTCACTTTGTTTATTTTCTAAGAAGAAGTACAACCTAACACTTCAATCCTGGAAGTTACTGGCCAGCAAAGCTACTTGAGGGGCTGGTACTGGGCTCCTGGAGGGTAGGGAGAGGGGACAACTGGGTCACACGACATGGACAGTTTTAGTCTTAGGGATCTCACACCTGGTCACACGTCATCTGCCCGTCTGTTTAAAAGGCATTAATGTTAGGGGTCTGCTGCATTTGTTTCTTGCACTTTCTTGTTTGTATGGTTTTCAGATTGTTGTGGCATACTGCCAGGAGCCAGCACATGAGATCCCACCCGTGACAAGGTCATGAGGAGAAGACCTGACAGGCAAGACAGATCAGGACTTCAGGGATTTTGAAAAGCTGCCCCGGGGCTCACCTTAAAGATGATATCTGTCTTTCTGATGCTTGCTATGTTAGATGACTCGCTAATTTCTATGACACAGGTAGAAGGCCTTCTCCGATCTCTCTCCAAACAGAATCAACTTAGAACTTTAATTAATATGTCCCCCGGACAGTGGTATCCTATAAGATTATCCAGGATGAAAGGAGTGTTTCAATTTAGACCCCTCTGCTGGCATTCTAGCCTGCTTGGCAAATGCGTACTAATGCACATAACTGCTCACAGCACCTTAATCATAAACAGCATAAAGAACCTGATCACACAAAAGGCCCTAATAGCCACAGAGCCCTTCAGGGGGTAAGGAAGCCCTATTAGAGAACACAAAAATATTATTCTAAAAGTGGTTATAGTTAAAGATTTAGAAAAATGAGAGTTTAGAATTGTTAATTTTAACCAGGAATGCTAAACAGGGGCTGCCTCACCAGAGCTGCAGAGTCTATGTGTGGTAAACCTTTTAGATAAATTTAACTGATAGCTTCTGCAAAAGGACTGACCTTTGTGTTCAACAAAGAATAGATTACAGAAAACAGCTTTGCATTCACCTAGGTCATAAAATGTCAATAGGCCCCAAGGCCAGAAGATAATGTATAAGATTCTCACAAAGAAGTATGCAGAAAACACCCTGGTTTCTTGAAGGACAAGCTGATGTAATATTAAACTATCTTCCCCTTAAAAATGTACTAACTTAGAATATAAAAGCTACGGTAAAAAATAAAGATTTGCCAGACTCTGCTGCACACCCCCAGTCTGGTCTCTCTCTCTCCCCCCGACACCATTTCATCCTGAGGGTACCCCTGGATCCTGCCGAGACTGGACCCTGGCAGCATACATAGAGTTTTATCCTGTGTCCTTACTTACACTGAATTATACCTGTTCCTTTGATGGCCACAGAACTTCAAGCTGACCTCTCTTCACACTCCATTCAGTAGGAACTGTGCCGCGTGTTGCAGAAACCTTCCCTTCCTTGGGGCTGTGAAGGTTGCTTCTGGTTTTCCGTGTTCTGAAAAATACTGTGTTAGTGTCAGGCCTTTTCTGTGTTGAAGCTTACTTCCTGTGTTTTGTATATTAATAGATTTGGGCAAAAGGTGGGAGTAGGGGTCTGAGGCTAATGCAGGACCTGGTCTGCTCTCTTCACTGCAGGGCAACCCCTGCCCTCTCCTCACTGTGCTCAGGAGCACCGCCTTCTTTGCGGTTCTCCAGTGCTGTCTTCTCTTCCTCCACTGCTCTTCTGTCACTTGTTCCCTCTGTGCCTTTCCCTGCTGCTTGGAGAGACTCACCTTTCGCAGGCTTCACAGGGCAGTTTCTGAGTTCTTTCCTCCCTGTGGCACAGGGAAGCTGTGGGGAGCAGCCAGCTCCAGCAGGCCGGGTGGGCCAGAGTCTTCTGCTCTCAGCCACTCGTGCCTTTGAGGGCAGGGCTGCTGCTCTTTGTATGAAGTGCTGCTCCGTTTACTCTCCAGTTTCCTGAAGATCAGTCTCTGAACTGCTTTTTAAAAGCTTGTAAGTACTATCCAAAAAACCAAGATTATGGATTACGTAAATTGATGTTAAGTATGTGTCAGAATTTATTGGTAGCAAATAATGGGTGGGTGAACTAGTGGGTGACAGAAGAATGTGCGGTAAAGAAAGTATGAACATGGAAGGGTTATATAGGTGGGAAGGAGGATGCTACATAGGCAGCTAATTAAGGAAATAAATACACACAGAGTTTCATTTCACAGTCATAAAAATGTGTCCACATCAGATATTAAAACAGAAGTCTGTGAGAAGATGGTATGAAATGACAAAGGCCCAGCAGATAAAACAGAAAACCCATCCAGAAAGCATATCCTGAGCCTCAGGGTGGGCCTGCAGTTACCAATAGCAGCACAAGAGACAGGCAGCAGACATGTGATGAGCGCCAGGCAGAGACTTGTTCTGGTTTAACTGCCTACTTTCAGTGATATGTCTCAAGCTGCAAACAAAGATACAGAATATGGCTTCTCCATTTCTTAGTTTGAGGGACATTTGCTTTCTTCTGACAGTGTGGAGGTAAGAGGACTGGAAAAACCAGTCTTATGGCCCTGAAGTGATTACCTGATTATAGGTGGTGGGACTTGCCAGAAATAGCTTCCTGGTCAAGTAATTCAGATAAGTTTATTTCCTGCTCAGTAAGAAAAAAAGTCTGGAGGCCAGGCATCAGGGCTGCTGGGGCATCTCTGAGGCACTCGCCCTAGGAGCAAGCAGGAGAATGGTCCTATTGCCTGGGGAGGGGAAGGTTGGGGGGACAGGCACCTGAAGCAGAGAAAACAGCTGTTTACACTCTTGTTTTTCTCTCAGATTTAGAGAAATAGCTGGATCCTTAGAAGCAGCACTTACAGATGTCCTGGAAGATGCACCAGGTAACATCCTCAAAGTGACAAAGGCTATTGTTAAGTGGGTTAATTCCATTCACCAAGTCTTCTTGGTGGCCTTAGCACCCTGGGAGCACTTTGACCTCTTGCTGTCTTCCAATAGTGTTACTTGCTCAGTCGTGTCCAATTCTTTGCAACCCCGTGGGTTGTAGCCTACCAGACTCTTCTGTCCATGAAATTCTCCAAGCAAGATTACTGGAGTGGGTAGCCATTCCTGACCCAGGGATCAAACCTAGGTCTCCTGCATTTCTTGCAGATGATTTACCATCAGAGCCACCAGGGAAGTAAGTTAGACCCTGAAGATACAGTTTAAGTTCTTTTTTAAAAAAAGGTTTCTAGAGCTTCCAGCTGTATAGAGACGATGTAAGGGACGCTTTAAGAACACGGGAAGGAGACCACGTTTTCGTTTCTGAATATAATGTGTCAAGGGGATATAACCCCTGCTGTGCTTAAGTGACAGCCTATTTTTGTAGCCTTGTGGCTGCCCTCCACTTCCCTCTCAAGCTGAGGTAAAGGGTCAGAATGTCCCTTCCCTCCAGAGGATGACTCTCAGCTCGGACTGCTGCCTCGGGCTTCCAGAGCCCTTGGCCCAGTCCTGGGTCAGTGGGCGGGTGACTGGGGTCAGCCTACGCTTTCCAGACGTGTTTGCATGTAGTCATGCTTTAGGCGTCCCTGGTGACTGCTCACCTAGGTGGCTGTTCCTCTAGCCACAAAGCTCCACCCCACTGTGCTCCCTTTTGTGCGGCCAAGTTCCATCTAAACTGCACTCTTTTAGCCTCAAAAGTTTATTTTCAGCTGTCTTTGCAAAAGTAGCCATGTGTAATTGACTTCCTATATTTAAATAGCATATTCAGGAGTGGTAGAGAAGACAGGACAAATTCAAAATCAAAGAGTAAACCCTTGCAAGTGACTGCCACTCCAATTCGCATTTGTTGCTTTATTATAAACCACCTGTTAGCTGATTATTTCTGATTGTTATATATGTTTAATATGTATCAAATACCTGGGAGAAGGAGTCATGCAAAATTAGAAAACAGCATTACAGGAGAGATGTAGTAACGTGTCCACATTATGGCCTCTTGGCTGGCCACACCCCCTCCCTAAATCTTCGCTGACCTCATAGGACTCTTCAGAATGTCATTGGCTTCACTCTTGGCTTGTCCGTGGAAGATTTTAGCTGTTAGCCCTTCTGCTGCGACTCCTTAACTGTGCGTTTTTACCTCTAGCTGGGAGCTCATATCGCCTTTTGGCTTCTCATAGGATGTGGAGCACCCTTCAGAGGTGCTGGTCTGACAAGATGTTCTTGCCGCTGCTGGCGCATCATCTGTGGAGACTGACGCTGCAGATTCTAGTGCGATACTCCATATTTGTCAAGGAGGTGAGGGCTGGCTGGTGCTCATCCCTAATCAAGATTGAAAGGAATTAAAGATAGGTTAAGCTAAACGTGCCAAGATTTGTAAAGCCCATGTGGTCATGAGAGGTTGATGCAAGGGCTATAGTCCAACTTCCAAAGTTTCTATCCTTTTCACTGGATTTCCTTTTCACTCTTGTTTATGTGACCTTTAGGGGCATCAGTTGTCACATATTCATTGCTTTGTCTTTTTGGTTTTTTTATTTTTTATTTTTTTCATTTATTTTTATTAGTTGGAGGCTAATTACTTTACATCATTGCAGTGGTTTTTGTCATACATTGAAATGAATTAGCCATGGATTTACATGTATTCCCCATCCCGGTCCCCCCTCCCACCTCCCTCTCCACCCGATCCCTCTGGGTCTTCCCAGTGCACCAGGCCTGAGCACTTGTCTCATGCACCCAACCTGGGCTGGTGATCTGTTTCACCCTAGATAATATACATGTTTCGATGCTGTTCTCTTGAAACATCCCATCCTCGCCTTCTCCCAGAGTCCACAAGTCTGTTCTATACATAGGAGTCTCTTTTTCTGTTTTGCACATAGGGTTATCGTTACCATCTTTCTAAATTCCATATATATGTGTTAGTATACTGTAATGGTCTTTATCTTTCTGGCTTACTTCACTCTGTATAATGGGCTCCAGTTTCATCCATCTCATTAGAACTGATTCAAATGAATTCTTTTTAATGGCTGAGTAATATTCCATGGTGTATATGTACCACAGCTTCCTCATCCATTCGTCTGCTGATGGGCATCTAGGTTGCTTCCATGTCCTGGCTATTATAAACAGTGCTGCGATGAACATTGGGGTGCACGTGTCTCTTTCAGATCTGGTTTCCTCGGTGTGTATGCCCAGAAGTGAGATTGCTCGGTCATATGGCAGTTCTATTTCCAGCTTTTTAAGAAATCTCCACACTGTTTTCCATAGTGGCTGTACTAATTTGCATTCCCACCAACAGTGTAAGAGGGTTCCCTTTTCTCCACACCCTCTCCAGCATTTATTGCTTGTAGACTTTTGGATAGCAGCCATCCTGACTGGTGTGTAATGGTACCTCATTGAGGTTTTGATTTGCATTTCTCTGATAATGAGTGATGTTGACCATCTTTTCATGTGTTTGTTAGCCATCTGTATGTCTTCTTTGGAGAAATGTCTGTTTAGTTCTTTGGCCCATTTCTTGATTGAGTCATTTATTTTTCTGGAATTGAGCTGCAGGAGTTGCTTGCATATTTTTGAGATTAATCCTTTGTCTCTTTCTTCATTTGCTATTATTTTCTCCCAATCTGAATGCTTTCTTTTCACCTTGCTTATAGTTTCCTTTGTTGTGCAAAAGCTTTTAAGTGTCATTAGGTCCCATTTGTTTATTTTTGCTTTTGTTTCTAAAATTCTGGGAGGTGGGTCATAGAGGATCCTGCTGTGATGTATGTCGGAGAGTGTTTTGCCTATGTTCTCCTCTAGGAGTTTTATAGTTTCTGGTCTTACATTTAGATCTTTAATCCATCTTGAGTTTATTTTTGTGTATGGTGTTAGAAAGTGTTCTAGTTTCATTCTTTTACAGGTGGTTGACCAGTTTTCCCAGCACCACTTGTTAAAGAGGTTGTCTTTTTTCCATTGTATATCCTTGCCTCCTTTGTCAAAGATAAGGTGACCATAGGTTCGTGGATTTATCTCTGGGCTTTCTATTCTGTTCCATTGATCTATATTTCTGTCTTTGTGCCAGTACCATACTGTCTTGATGACTGTGGCTTTGTAGTATAGTCTGAAGTCAGGCAGATTGATTCCTCCAGTTCCATTCTTGTTTCTCAGGATTACTTTGGCTATTCGAGGTTTTTTGTATTTCCATACAAATTGTGAAATTATTCGTTCTAGTTCTGTGAAAAATACTGTTGGTAGTTTGATAGGGATTGCATTGAATCTGTAGATTGCTTTGGGTAGTATAGCCATTTTGACAATATTGATTCTTCCAATCCATGAACACGGTATATTTCTCCATCTGTTTGTGTCCTCTTTGATTACTTTCATCAGTGTTTTATAGTTTTCTATGTATAGGTCTTTTGTTTCTTTAGGTAGATATACTCCTAAGTATTTTATTCTTTTTGTTGCAATGGTGAATGGTATTGTTTCCTTAATTTCTCTTTCTGTTTTCTCATTGTTAGTGTATAGGAATGCAAGAGATTTCTGTGTGTTAATTTTATATCCTGCAACTTTACTGTATTCGTTGATTAGCTCTAGTAATTTTCTGGTAGAGTCTTTAGGATTTTCTATGTAGAGGATCATGTCATCTGCAAACAGCGATAGTTTCACTTCTTCTTTTCCTATCTGGATTCCTTTTACTTCTTTTTCTGCTCTGATTGCTGTGGCCAAAACTTCCAAAACTATGTTGAATAGTAGTGGTGAGAGTGGGCACCCTTGTCTTGTTCCTGATTTCAGGGGAAATGCTTTCAGTTTTTCACCATTGAGGGTGATGCTTGCTGTGGGTTTGTCATATATAGCTTTTATTATGTTGAGGTATGTTCCTTCTATTCCTGCTTTCTGGAGAGTTTTAATCATAAATGGATGTTGAATTTTATCAAAGGCTTTTTCTGCATCTATTGAGATAATCATATGGTTTTTATCTTTCAATTTGTTAATGTGGTGTATTACATTGATTGATTTGCGGATATT